ATACCACGGCAAGCAAGCATATACATACCCGTTACATTTTTTTTTTTGATTGACCAAGACAATGTTGGCCTAGTGGATAATTGCAAAGTGTAACTAAATTGATATTTATGTTATATTTAAACACCTCACATCAATGGATATCATGCTTTCTGTTTACTCATGTTTGGAAACAAACCTGTGAAGCCTTCAAAGAACTAAAATCTTTAGACAGTAATTTATAAGCACCATATGCAGTTTTGAACCGGCTAGGTACATTACATATACCTCTGAAGGAGGCCCCATCTTCTTATTTGGTTAATTTCTTCTCTTTATCTTCTGATGGGAAAATGGATAATGCATAATATTCCTGAAGGACAATCTATTAGTAGCTACAAAGATTTAAGGTTGGAGTGGAGCGTCACTTTTAAGCAGGACACCTACAATCAGTTCTACGATGAAGTGATTAGGATAAAACTGGATTAAAATGATTCAACCAATTTCCAAACTCAACCATGTTATGAATATGTAGCAAGACTTAAAAAAAAGGATGTTCATAAACAGGGTTAAGCAGTTTTCCAAAAAAGAATGGGCATACTTCAAGTTTTAGATGTGCAAAACTGGTGGAGACAAACATCAAAAGATTTGCAGCTGTATCTTCAGCTACAGGTGGTTTTGTAATTATATCCCCCTTGTTCCTTTTGCTTATATTTTAAATATATTACCTGGTCTTGAACTATTATAAAGGAATAGGAAATGTATAGTGTGGCAAAACGTGAAAAAATAAAGATATTTCAACATACACAGCTGATTTCATGACGAGTAAACACATTGCTGAACTGAAGTTTTAGTTTGCATGCTTCAGGTCTCAAGATATATGACAGAGTTGCATAACAGCTCTCCTCAATGCTTTACTTCATCCATGCACATGTGGGTGCCTGCAAAGAGCTACCTTTAAAGCCCTAAGGGTCCAATTTGCCCCAATAATTACTTTTGCAGTCCTTGCACTTTTAGTCAATCCCCAGGCTACTTAAACGTGCGCTTAGTGGACTTAAATCACTAAAGTAATAGGGAGATAAAAAGATATAAACCACAAAGGCAAAAACAAATAGGTAATGAAGGAGGCTTTTATTTTCTTACATATTTTTTTTTTTATGTTAAGAATCCCTCCTTGTTTGTAAGTGTTTGCCAGAATTTCATGTAGCATTTCTGGCTGCTGTGGGAGTAATTCACTACATCCTTGCTCATCCGGCTGAGGCCAGGGGCCAGAAGGGCTCTTGGACACAGCCAGGAAGCCTCTGAAGCTCTCCAGGATGTATCTGTCAGCTGATCCCCCTTTCGGGAGGGGAAGAAGGACAGGAAGAGGCGAGAGGGAAATTGGCAGGTGTGGATGGGACAGGAGAGTGTGGGCTTTCTCCAGCTGACAGTGTCATTGGCAAGTCTGCAAAAGGCTTGTATAAGCTCAGATTCTCTCTGTTTTATTCTTCTTTCGTTCAGCCTCCTTCCCTCCTGTAAGGGCCCATGACCAGCTCTTTGGTTGCCTCTTGTGCTGCGATTGAAGGAGGCAGAGTTTTAGGGAACATGTTGGAATCCAGCATAAATAATTTATGGGATCATGGTGGTGACAAGTTACAACAATATATTTTCAGATATTTATTTTGCTATAATACAGCACAACGGAATTCAATCTCTGCATTTAACCCATACCCTTGGGGAACAGTGGGCTGCCATTTGCGGTGCCCGGGGAGCAGTGTGGGGTCAAGGTGCTTTGCTCAGGGACCCAGAGTGGCAGTGTGTGCAAGTGGGTTTCGAACTCACATCCTCAGGATTGCAAACTCTATGCCCCAACCACCAGGCCACAAAAATATATAAAAATCTTGAAATTCTATTCTATTTCAGAAACAAGTGGGAAAATTTAAAATATGCAGTAATAGTAATTTTTTAAAAAATGGTTTAAAAGCTGTCAAACAAAACTAAACAAAACAAAAAGAAAACTTCTGCTGAGTTAGGCAGAGGTTTTTTAATTAACATGCTTGTTGTGCATAGCATGATCAGTACAGGCATTTCAACGTTTTAACATTAAATTCCTATTGGTTTAGCTTGTTCATATTAGCTGGTTGATTAGCCAGGTTTTTGGCTTGGTTAAGTCTGCTGCTTAACAAACCTACTGATAGTCCCTTATAACTCAGCTCTATTTAGTAAGAGTGATGAAAGATGATTCTTTGGTGTTAATCCCATATCTAGCGACTTTTCTACTGAACTGTGTAGGTAACTGGTAGAAGTGCATCAAAGAATGGGGTGGGGAAAGCAACATAGGAGTGTCCCATAAAGTCAGACCAAACTTAGCTAACTCTGCAACTTTCTGTAGAACCATGTGAAAGCAACATTAACCCATAGGAGAGGCATGATGAAAGATTTTGGTGGTTTTAAAGCCGGAACCTTTTAAAAATCATGCTGGTAGGGAGCCCAAGTAGGCTTACTGCTTACAGATGTTTGCATGCATGTTGTTTAAGGGTTGAAACGTTGCTATTTATAACACAGAGCGTTAAGGGAACTGTAAATGTTCAGCTATGTAGAGACAAAAGTAACATTTGTGTTTTGTAAATGATATTGATAAATTATTTTTATTTGTTCAGCAAAAAAGAAACAATTCACAGACATGTTCTGTTGTAAAATTAATCTTAAATAATGTGTGTTATTTAGTGCAATAGACAAAAAAAAAAAAACTCATGATCAGAATCCATACAAGTTTTATTATGCAGTGGCATAAATACATTTTTAGAAATGTTTAGACAAATGCAAGTTGTATAGGAAAATTAAGAGAATGGAGAAAATTAGTGCAGCTTTTTGCATGAGTACATTTAAGGTTTTCTAATATTGACTTGTACTGCAGCCTGTTTTTGTTTTGTGTTTTACAGCTAGTACATTGGCTCCATATGTGACTTTAATCACTTCCTGCTACAGGGAACTTTAACCTCCAACCCTGCCCTTATGCTAAGTCACCTGGAAAGCCAACCCAATCACCCCCCCACCCCCTCTCTAAAGCCCTTTGCAAGGACACTCAACTCATTGTACAGGTGTTTGGAAGAATTTCTCTGTAAGGCAAGGGCCAATCCGATGGCTGTCTCCTTAAGTGAAATAGTTTGATTGTTCGTAAGTCATATGGTGGAAAATATGTAATATATATATATATATATATATATTATTTATAATTATTTAAAAAGATATAAATAATATTTATGTATAAGTGTTGTTTATGAAAAATAATTTACCAATGTGAAATCTGGAATAGAACATTAATTCTTCTGAAACTATCTAGCCACCATGTATTTTGCTCCAAAGCATAACTTCTCCTTCTTTCATGTATTATATTGAGGGTTAATGTTGGCCTCTGTTTCTCACTGCTTGCACTGTTTGAATTGTGTTTAGCAAGCTGAGAGAACAGGAAAGGCAGAGCAGACATGGAAGAATAGAGGGATATCCCCTTACAGGGTTGCCTCCTTTTTCCTCCAGGACAGAAGGGTGGAGAACTTTGGAAATGTGGGGGCTGGTAAATCATATCACCTGTTTGCATTCAAACTTTTATCACTATGAAAGTCAGTTATTAAGATATATGTTATAGTGTTATTCGTTATGAATCTCCTGCACCCTTTGGTCTATAAGATGCCATGTTGCTCTGTTTGTATTTGCATGTGTGTCTGTTCTCATACACATCCAGATTAGCCCTATGTGGCCCAGATTACAACAGGATCAGTACTACCATATATTTCCCCACCCTCTGAAGTATCACTGGGACAGTGGGCCAGCCACAGCTTTAAGAGCTTCAGACCCCATTGAATTACTCTTCTGCAAAGAGCAAAAGTACAAACTTAACCATTTACTGCAAGCTGTTAAGCAGACTGTGGTGGGAGGTGTGCATATATGAACCTTTAGGGATAAAATGCTTGTTTTAACAAGAATGAAAGAGGTACATTTATTTCAATCAAACATATGGGACATTTATAGACTCTATTATCCCACTCAGACTGTGTTGATCTTCAGGCTGCAGCTGGTAATGCATCACTGCATGAGAAATGTAACTGCACATTTCGTTAGAGGACTCTCTTGACTAATATTAACCATCATGGCCATTATCTTTTTTTTTTATACATTTTTAAATTTTACAGCCACAGATTAGATTTTTTTATTTTGTGTGACCAGCAGTACTGGATTATTTTGAATAAAATGCAAATGGCGTGTGGCGGCCTAGTGGTTACGGCATAGAGCTAGGAATCCTGAGGTTCTGAGTTTGAGCCCCACTCCCACAGACTGCCACTCTCTGAGCAAGACCCTTAACCCCACACTGCTCCCTGGGCAGCCCACGATGGCAGCCCGCTGCTGATGGGTTAAATGCAGAGGTAAATTTCTCCATTGAGAGATCAATAAAGTAAAACAATTATTAAATGATAGTTGCTTATAATTATTTACAAATAAAAAACAGTTAACTGTTATGCATTTTTATTTCATTCTGCTTAGTTAATAGTTTGACTTAAAGGCATTAAACCTCTTTTTCTGCAATTATTATTATTACAGGGTTTTTAGTGCTTTCCAGTCTTATTTGCTTTTATAAAGAGTATTTGTGAAGCTCAGCTTTTAAATTCTGCTACAGATTTTGAATTGAATTCTGGTCTTGAAAGTCTTCACAGCCTACTGTATAACATCTGATTATGCTCTACATCAGACCATGAGCTCCGGCTACTTGTAATATTTTTTTTCCTGTAAGGTTGACCGCCACCTCATACCTAAATGCTTTGCCACTCCAAATTGATTATCTTCCAGTTTTGCCCTGTATTTAGCTTCTTTATTCCTTCCAGCACCTGTAACCAATATCCGTCTCCATCTGCAGAAAGGCATCTCCACAGCGTAATGATGACTTGAGCTCTGATGTTTTTATTTTCTCTTCACGTTCCCTTAGAATTGTGTAATTTGGTTTGGTCATTTTTTGAACTTTCAGCAAAAATTTGTCTTTACATCTTCTCTCCAAGGTGCAACCAGGGAAATTGGCTCAGCTCTGACCAGAATGTGCATGCGACACCGCAGCATTGAGACAAAATTAAGACATTTCACCAAGTAAGAGTCACTTGAACTTGTACTTACTTGTACATCTTTGAATGTCCATGGGGAAAAATTCACATCTTACAAGCTTCATCCTTAGACTTTGCTGATTCATTCTGTCTCTCCTCTTTCTTGTAGTGTTCTCATGGAAGGCCTGGTCACACCACTCCAAGACCGGATAGAGGAATGGAAGAAGATGGCTAATCAGCTTGACAAAGACCACACCAAAGGTAAAAAAAAATAATGTCTAGAAAGTATAGGAAAGGGATTATGCTCAGTGTTGTAGTCTGAGTTTGGAATCTTATGTACTTTTCTGCTCTTTACAGAATACAAGAGGGCCCGTCAGGAAATTAAAAGAAAATCGTTAGATACCATTAAGCTCCAGAAAAAAGCAAGAAAAGGTGAGAGAACTCTGCAAGGTATACTTAGTAATCCAAACTATGGCTGCTGAGCTGTGCACTGATATTATAGTGAACTGGCACCATCTAGAGTCAGGACTGAGGTATTAATGTTCCCTTAAATTAAAATGTGCTGCACAGTACCATAGGCTCCACTGTAGCTATGACGATGATCTGCTTTATGAATGACAGTTATTTTCTTTCTCTTGCTGTTCTTATATTAGCCCATACCGCTGGTTTCAACTAACTCTTTCCATCAATATAGCAGCGGTATTGGCTAATCATAAACATGCATTGTGCTGCTGTTCAACGCACCTAACGCTGCCTGTTCTTCTGTCTCTCCGTCCCCGCCTGATACTGCAATCCTCCTCTGTTTCTTTCTGGCTTTTCCCCCTTGGCTGTAGAGCTTCTAGGTATGTTTGCTGCTCTTTGGCCTGTATAAGAAACTCATATTAAGCATCAAAACCACCTTGAGATCAACATCCTTTCAAAAAAAAACAAAAAAACAAAAAACACTTTGCTGTCTTAGCATTTTTAGCTGAAGGATGAAAGAGTTTGATATGCTAAAGGAATGTGCTTGCATGAGATATTGGGTGAAACTGGCAAGGGAAGATTGACTCTCCTGTCAGCTTTGTAGCGAAGTAGCTGGTTGCCAGATGTCATTTGACTGAGCTAAGCAAAAAAAGAGTCAAGAGTTTCATAATCCACCTACAAACACTTCAGAGTGAGAACTCTGTACACCGAAACACACTTTATGTTAGTTTTATCTATTATTTTTTTTAAAGTGTAAATATTGCTGGTTCATAAACTAAATTGCTGCTTTTTTTCCAACTACACTTAAAATGCACTCTGACTCATAGTGATTATTTATATATAGTACCTAAGTAATGTTCAGTGCTTTATTACCTTTTTTATAAAGACGTATTATCCGTATAAACTGCTAAAGGTTTTTGCTAATTTTTGTATATTTATTGATTCAGAACAAACTATGCTAACAAATATTTATTTCAACTAAGAGGAACTCTTTACTACACTTTCAGACTTCCCAGATCTTTGTTTCCTTTGTTTTATGTTCCTCTTTTCTTCATCTTAATCAACTTAGTTTCTGAAGGATTTGGGTCTGGGGACTGATAGCCAAGATGGAAGGTTACATTTTTAATCTGGCAAACCATGTCTGCAAAGATTCGTTAATAAGTTTTTAACTCGCTATTCTAATGCAAGACTCAATCATTACCCATTTTCAGTTTGCTGCTGAAAATGGGTCGTCAACCAGATTGATATTTAAACTGTCCTGGTGTCTCAAAAAGTTTATCCTGCCATGCAGTTTGACAAGGTTTTCAGTGGCTTGGAAATGAAACCAGCCAACAGCATCACAGAACCCCAGCAATACCTGTTCGTGGGCATCTAATGCCCACCAACAGATGTTGCAGGGGTGGGCATTAGATGCTTTGCTACACACTAATTATTTGTTTTACACAAGACTCTTTGGAAGATTTGGATTTTTAACTGATTGGATTCGGGTCATATGGCCAAAGCATGCATTTCCAGTTATTGTCCCAGTGGAGTTTATCAAACTCCACGTATTTATAATATTTGTAATGGAAAGACAGTCAAATTAAGGAATATACATGAGTTGATATTACCTTTGAGACTGCAGAGTATTTACTTGCTATGTAATATAAGTTGTTTTCTGGTGCCCCTTAAAAAAATAAATTTTACATAACAGCTTTTTGGAATGTTTATGTTGTTCTAGTTAAAGAAAGTGTTATATTCATTTCTTTCCAGACCTTTTTTACAGTGAGAAACATTTTTTTATTTTAATGGCCAATAAGTATTTTTTTCTGTTGTATATTCTTCACCATAACTCGATTTTAACTGCAGCCTGAAAATTGCTTTAAGACCCTGTGAAAGGACAATAAGTAAGGTTTTGTTTTGGGTCTCCCAAGTTAATTAGTGTGTTATTAAATAAATATGCGCCTCAAGGTTTACTTGTGTCTGCTAATTTGTGTTCAGCATAGACACAGTAAAAAATTATAATTTGCATTATTTATTATTAAATACAACTATAGTAATTTAGGTGATTTAATTAAAAATGACAGCAAACTTTTCAAAATACAATTTGGTTTTAACAGTTTTGCTCATTTACGAGTCAGCTAGAAATGCTAAGATACACATGCAGAGAATGTGTGTTTGTTCAGAAGATCCAATTAAAGCAGAAATGGAGTGTTGCTTTTTTCATTTTCATCACTCATGTAACTCTGAACATTATGCACAGTCTCCTCCTCTTCTGCATCTGCTCATCATCGTAGTTTGATGACTTCTTTCAAATACCTCCAGCTCCCATGTGCATGAACCATTCAAGTATGAAGTTTGTCAGTGCATTGACCTCTAGTCCACAGCAGCTCATCATCATTTGTTCTAATCATTTCTAATTTGTTTCATCTTCCCCCTCTCCTTGACATTTTATGCCACTGCTTCAATTATCATCTACCTCCATCGATCCTCAATTTATTTTCCTTTTGTTTATTCAACTCGCCTTTCCTCCCACGGTTTGCAAACTGCGCTACTACCCCACGCAGGCCGGGGAAACCTGCGCCCTCAGCTGGACAGCGCCATGCAAGATGTCAATGACTTGTATCTGCTAATGGAGGAGACAGAGAAGCAGGCGGTTCGAAGGGCGCTTCTGGAGGAGAGAGGACGTTACTGTACATTCATCAACTTCCTTCAGCCAGTGGTGGTGAGCAACATTTATGTCTTAAATCACTAAGAGCTCCAACGCTAAAATCTCAGTGCTTTCCTTCTCACAACTTTCTTTTCATTTTTTTGTGTTTTCTCTGCAGAATGTGGAGATTGCCATGTTGGGAGAGATAACCCACTTACAAGCCATTGTTGATGACCTCACTATGTTGACTGAAGACCCACATAAGCTGCCACCTGCCAGTGAGCAGGTAACAAAGCTGGATACTCCTAGTTCTAGTGCTATAGATCCACTTTGATATGCAGTTCATTGCTACACTGCTAAAGTTGTACTGATCACTTGAAATTTAAGTTCATGTAGGTTGGAAAACTATTTTCAACCTATTTAAATAAATGCTGGCATTTACAACCCACTTAACACTAACATCTCTGGTTTGCACATTAAGATTTCGCAATATGATTTAAATGGCCTTAATGTTTTAAAGCTGATTAGACTTCACTCTTGGTTAACTAAGGTGATAAATTACATACAACAGAAGTCCAGGTCTAGGAAGCACTGGCCCTGAGGGTATACAAGGCTTATATGCAGAGTGAAGACTGGTGTAAAAGAGGTTGAAGAAAAACCTCCAAGGCTCACTGCTAAAGAATTACAGAAGTTAACATCACATTGGGTTACTCACATTTCAGTAAAGCTGAATAAACTTTACCTACATATTAACTTTTATATTTGGCAGTCCAGAAAGATACAGTGATATTCTCTCTTTTTGTGTGTGTCCCGTTTTTTTTAATGTGACTCTTATAATAGATGTCCCAGAGCTAGCAGAAAGCCCAACAACTTTGCTTTTATAAGCAGACAATTATGACTATTGCTGTAAGGTTCTGCTTGATACTTGTATATAAAGAGAAACAAAGAGGGTATAAGAATTAAGGGGAGAGAGAAAGAGATAGAGACAGGAAAGAATGCATTAAAAGGGGGAACATGAAAACAGCAAAAACAAGACAGCATACAACCAAAGTAAAACTTAAAAAAAGCTTCAAGAGCAGTGAGTATCCCTTAGATATTCATTTATGTGGAATGCAAAACCTTTGGCAATTACACAATATTATTCAGGGTGGTGTATATCTTTAGTTGCAACTTAGTGTTTATTATTAGTGTATATCTTTGAACACCTGTATCCCAATTCCTGTGCTCATGTATGAATGATTTACAAAACTTCTTTAGAAGAAAAATCAGTAGCAGTTTTGGGTGGCCCCAGGCCAATCCTACAAGGCCTCAGAATCGATAAAGAGGCGATGTGAGCCCCACATATTCAAAGGCACCCCAGATCATTGGAACACAAGGAGGGCAGACATACAGTAGGGATGCCCACAACTACCAGTGAATAGTAGAGCTGAGCACCTGGATCCCGACTACCAAGGGGGCAAACTCAAAATAGCCCAATTTTTATATATGTGGTTGTGTATGTGTTGAGGAAAACAGAAAGCATACATACCACCAAATCTTTGAATTGTGTTTTCTTTGACAATATGACTAAAAGCTGTAGGTATATTGTAAGTTTTACAGTAGGAAATGGATCGCAAGTGATCTGATAAGCGTTAATCTAGCCACAGTCTGCAGACTTCTCTTCATCTCTGGTTGCAAGGAAACAGGTGATTATCACCCCCATGTGTTCATACAGTTGCAGCCATTCAAAATGGCCCTTTTGTCAAAAGCGAGCTTAATGGCAGCCTACTTCCCTGCAGCTCCCAGCAAAATCCTCTCCAACTTTCAGCCACTGGTGTAACCCCCTCCTTCTTTTGGGCGTCCACATTTTTTTTGTACTCACTCCACCCTTTTATTGCATTACAGGGTCTGCCCAGGAAATAACGCGTCTGTTTACATCTTAATGTCCACAAATCATGACAGAAAGAATATCTTAGTTGAAAGATTGATGTTTAAAAAGGAACTGTAAAGGGCTAGCCAAGGACCAGCCAAGAGTCCATCAAGGAAATTGGAGACATTTTGAATGGCTACTACTGTATGTGTTCAGTCTAAGATCAATGAAGATATCATTTTCATAAATTTGAATTAACAAAAAAAAAAAAAAATCACTGTTGTCAGACAGAACACAGCCACTTTATTTATTTATGTGTTCATTTGAAGTTGGCTAAGTGAAGTAGTATAATCCTTTCAAAGAAAAAAAAAATGTACAAAAAAATAATGGGTAACTTTGACTGTTTTAGCCAAAGTATATAAAATATGGTGCCATGTCACTTTACTTTTTTTTTGGTTTTGTAATTTTGTTATGCCATTCTTGATGATATTAAAATACCAAAATATAACAACTTTCGAAATTATAAAGCTATTTATTATGTGTTTTAAATGAAAAAGTTTTGAGGTGACAGGGTATTTCAATGTCATATGTTACTTGCTGTCTTGTATCCTTTAGAAGGAAAAGCTGTCAAAGTTTGGTGGGAAAACTAGAAGCGAATTATGTAATTTTACCAGAGATAAACTCAACCTAAAGTTCTTGGTGCTATTGTGTTTCTGGTGGTATTAGGAGAAAGTTAAGTGCCATGTATGTTTTCTTTTTCTTTTTATAATAGAGAGGTGTGATCTCAGAAAGTACCATTTTACCCTTTTTTTCCAGGTGAACATAGCTATCTATGATGCTGAAGTTCATGTAGATATGAGACTGAATGTATCACCAAAGACCTGTCAAACACGACGGACAGATAGTTTCAAAAAAGGGAGCTGTCAGAGTAACAAATAGTTGTTAAGTGTCTGTGGCTTGTTTTCTGGTAAAACTGATAAATCTGATTTTAAATAGTGCTTTCTTTAGTTGTATCAGATAATTTAAGATATAATATAAGGCAATGAGTGTTCTGTTTGTTTGCTAATAACTTTCTGTGTTTAGAAGTTGCGTTGGTGGTTGGTTTTGGTTATCAATAGCTGCAAGGAAGTTAAAGCTCGCCACCACAAGAAATCTTTCTGTAAAAAATTTTGATTTTATTATCAAAGCTGTAGGCATTTTGTTTCTGTAAAAAATATCATGGCTCTATTGTCATTTTCTATATAAAAAATTGCAACTATGTTTTCTAAGGTATTATATAGAAGCACATTACCAGAAAATGAAGATTTTAGGAAGTACAGTAATCGGACATAAGAGAGTAAAACGCTATTGAACAATATAAAAATAAAGCTAAAACTTCTTCACACAAAAAAGGCTAGTAAAAGAGGCACCTGCTTTTAGATAGTACACATTCACTTCAAGTTCAGTTCAGGATGCTGTAATCTCCTGTTGTTTGCAACCAGAGATGCAGAGGAAGAAGTGTACAGACTGTGGCTAGGTTAACGCTTAACAGATCACTTCATACTGTAATGCTGAAAAAATGTTTTTGGAACATTCAGTCTCATTATTAGTGTTGCACTGATACTGATACCAGTATCGGGATTGGCTCCGATCCAGCGCTAAAATGCTGGTATTGGTATCGGCAAGTATCAACAAATAGGGCACCAATACCATTTTGAGAGTTTATTCAAATATTGTCACCCATTCCAGGTAGGCAATAAAATTTTCTACTTGATTCACTTTGTATTAGTCTTTTTCCTGCTTCACAAAGGTAGGCAGCAGCTTGACAAAGCCATGGTGGCAATTAATTTACATCCAAGTAGTAAGCAGTTCTTCATATATACACACACACACATCAATTTCAAACAGATGGTATCAGTATGGTATTGATATTGGCCAATACTGCACAGCCAAGTATCGGTATTGGGGCAACACTACTCATTGTCAAAGAAAACACAACTCAAACATTTGGTGGTATTAAAGTTTACTGTTTTCTCAGACACATTCATACATTTACAACCACATATATGAACATTTATTTTTCATGACTGCAAAAATATAGTGTCAATAAAACCAGATTACCACATTTAGTGCCCATATATGACCTTTGGTGAAATGGCATACACCATTTTTCCTGGCATACATCATTATTCAAAACTGGCATGCGAGCTACCATTTTTGGCTCTTGGTGCTGTTGTTCTCTTGGCTTTCTTAAGTTCCACTTATCCAGGATTCGTTGATGCCCAAAAAATCATGTGCTACAATACATGCAGCACAGTGATTGTCTCTTTGCATTTTTCATTTCAAATTCAAAGTCTAATTTTGTCAGACTAAAACATACACACGCTGTAATGCCACTGTACCCTTCACAAATTGGTTGATACATGTTTATGGCTTCCTCAAGCAGATTGATAATGTAGAGTTTTCTTGATTTACTTTAATTCTTTACATTATCTCTCTAGGCCTGCTCCAATGTATTCCTTTTGAGGTAAGGAGGGAACAGTCAACAGAAACCCCTGAGCTTAATAGGCGAAGCTACATCTAGTGTCTGCCTTTCAAAGTTTGGTTTTAGCTAGTAATGGCTACCCACCAAAGTTTGGATCTAGACAGTCATGGTTGCAAAGGAAAATGTTATAAACAACGGGCACCATGAGAAAAATGTTTTACTTTAGGTTGGTTGGGATTGGGTTAGTATAAAACAACTGATGAGCAATATTAAAAAAAGATGTTGCAAGGTGGAGGATCTGTAATGCTGTGGGCCTGATAAACTGTTTAGTGCATCAAATATTGATTAATTTCAAATGCCAAAATTATTTAAATAAAAATCTGGTGATCTGTGTCAGAAAACGGGTCACAATTGGGTCACATTAAAAAAGTCCAAACTTTTTTTGTGATTGTTATTGAAAATGAAAAAAATGATTCCTTCCTTCCTGTGATGTGTCAGAAAGGAGGTCACTCTTGAATTTTCCCAACTAAAGGTATTCTATTGTGTTCTATTCTATTATGTTTTTATTCTATTCTAAACATTTGACATTAACCAAAGAGAGGACTCCAGAGAGAATTTGGGATGAAAATTGTGTGTACAAAATATCAACACCATGTTTATCATTAGAGAAATAGATTCTTACTCTGCCTCAGTTTATTAAAAGAATATTGCATGCACATCACTCACTTTTAAATGTAAAACTTGTGATCACTATTTTTTTTTAAATTATAATTTAAATAATTTCTGCAGGTTATTCGGGATCTGAAAGGCTCAGACTACAGCTGGTCCTACCAGACCCCTCCTTCCTCCCCAAGCAGCACCAGCTCAAGGAAGAGCAGCATGTGCAGGTACATCCTATAAACACACATGGGTTCTTTCAGTTCTCTGCAATAAAAGTCTTCTTCCAAAAATAGATAAAAACTGCTTTGACTAGGAACTTCCAGCATGCCTTTTTAATGTTATTTATGGCTATGTTGGTAATGATGGATAACATTGACTGTGAAGCTGAACAAGCACACATGCAATCTTATCATCAAACCACCTCTTAATATTGACATTTTTAGAGTATGTATGTATTAATATATATTTGATGTGCAGTCCTCACCAAGAACCTGACTACATGTGACAGACTACATGCTGTACCTGTGGTATCTTAAGAGTTCTCCAGCTTCTTGCCTTAGGCAGATTTGTCATTTTCAAGCTTCTTACAGGCAGATTACATGGAAAGCTGTCAAACATCACAGGCTGTAAGGAACCAGCTTACACAGAAACCTAAACCTGCACTTTCTTTAGAGGAATGATGATTTTTTGACAGTTTATTTATAAATGTGTGGTTTTGGGTCGAGAGAAAAGTCTGTCTTCAAACGGAACCCCTTGTAATGTGGGAGTTAAAAGGAAATCACCTTGCTTTGGTGTTAAGGTTCCTGTCAGTACTTCACTGATGCTTAAGGCAATTAACACGGCATCCTATATTTAGATTGCCATTATTTATCCACTCATAAATGTGACATACACTGCTCACAGGCTGAAGAGATGTGAGAATGGCATTTTTTTAGCAATAAAACAGCCACAAATTTGCATTAAGCTTTCTTTGGAAATAAGTGTTTTGATTTTGGCTCAGTATATTGAATATTAAAAGCAACATAAGGGTCCAATTGTTTGAATATACTTTTAACTTAATCTCAATTAGACTATGTCAAATAATACAGGCTTAAATATATATGAGACCAGGGCTCCACTATATATAATGAAAACAATTCTGTTGGCAATATATATGTATGCAAATGCAGTACTGATTTTTCCAGGGACTTTTTGGAATGCAATAAATGTTTTCTAATATAATAAATGAATGTAGTTTTTGCTTGGAAATTAGATATTTAGTCTATTTGCAGGACTCTCACTGCAGTGACAGAGACTACATTGTTCATAATGCTAAAGGTTAAAGAGAAAGTGAGAAGCAATCATGAGAGAGATGGTAATAAAGAAGATGTGGATTCATAGTAACTGAAACGATGCAATACCTGTCATCAATAACATAGATATGGTTTTAATGTTTAGTAATGTCCAACACTTGATACACCCTTGCTAACACCTGGAACTGCACCTAAGAGCTGCAGAGAAACCACACTCTTTTTAAGCCATAAACAAAACATTTATATTATTTGGACTTTATATTTGAATCTTTTTATTTCATCAGAACTGTTAAAGCTCACATTAGCTGGTTTCTGGTTTTTTTAGGGTCCTAAAACCAATGCTGCTTACAGGAGCTCAAGCTATGGTGATGCTATGACCCAGTCGTCACCTTATACCAAGTAAAATCCCTCAAATCCACATTGTCCCTTTTTTATGCTTCCAAAAAAAATGAAGCTTAAAAAATATTTGCCTTCCTTTGCTATACAGCTACACAGTACATCTTTCCTACTTCTTTGTGTCATTGTGATGAGTTAATCAGCATTTTTTATTTCAAGCCCCTCTTATGGTTACAGACTGGTAACTCTAGAATCATTACTGTATCAATGCAGAGAAACAGGATTATTTATCAAAGGAGAAGGAGAAGGAAATAGAAGACCCTTCCCGGTTTTAAATAAATAATGATTATTCAATTTGCCATGTTTAATTTGCCATTCGTCCTTAAGCCTCATCCTAGAGTATGAAGATTAATGAGAAGTGATAACTGCGGATACGTTCCTTAGGGAGATGGGGAGAGGAGTTGGTGTGGGGGAGGAGGAGTGCCGCGGGAGGGTGCGGAGTGGGTTTCTAAATGTGTGGGTGACAAAGGGAAACAACTTTGCGTGCGGATAACAAAGCAGGAGACAAAAGGCATAAAGCCAGCTCTTAATCTTCAGAGGGAAAAATAAATAAAGGGATAATGTTTTAATGCTCTTTGATGCTCCAAAATGAAAAGAACGGCATCATTTAGCCAACGTTCATGCTTGGAGCTTTTATATTCTTTTTTTTTTGTTTGTTTTTTATTTATCCCGTCCTGTTTTTGCTAAATCCTTTCCTTTAAAAAAAAAATCTCCCAGAAGACAACAAAAGGGATAAAAGCATGACAATCTTGATTATGAGAATGTTTATTATTAACACATTGTTTGTGATATTGTGCCAACAGCTTGCTTCAGATGCCATCAGCGGGAGCACATCGGCTCAGCAGCGTCTCCTCCCACGACTCCGGTTTTGTCTCACAGGATGCCAACACCCATTCTAAGCCTCCGTCACCCATGCCCTCAGATATCACTAGCCAGGTAGCTGTCTTTGTTTTGATACTGAAAAACTAAATATTGCTGAGGAACAGGGATTTTGTACTCCAAGAAAACGAGGACCGAAGCAGCCTTCCACTCCCAGGAGAATCCTCAGGCAGTAATGCTGCAGGGCAGGAGGCCACAGCAACAGTTTCACTTTCTTATCAAAGCAATACAGCGTTGTGAAAAAGTATTAACCGTGTTTCAAATTTAATCTGTTTTTGACTTTTATTTAGAAATAACTTAAGGGTTCTCATTATGAAACAAATATTGATATCTGACAAAAGATAACGGAGTAATTCAAAATGTAAGGCTGCAACTAATGATTATTTTGCAAAATGATTGTTCTGTTGATATTTTTCTTGATTAATCGATTAATAATCAAAAAGCCAAAGGTTCATTAAACAAGACTTTTTTCATAAGTAAACCAGCTGAAACTGAAATACTTCCACTTGAGGACTTCTGGATAGAGCATATTGACAGACATTTTTTTTTAATCTTAAATGCAAAATGTTTATATATATTTTTTATTTAGATATTATTACTGCTCTAAGTAGGTTGCTCGTCAGCTACAGGCATGTTTTACAGTCTGTACGCTCAATAATCAATTAATCACCATTAATCCGATTAATTGTCTCAGTCCTAAAGAAATGAAGTATTCAGGGGATTTCCTTTATTAGAGAAAAAAGATACCCAGTTCATATACAGTCAATGGCTTTTATGACATTTTGAGGTTCTAATTTGAGTGCCACTGAATAGTTCATAAACTGATGGTCAGATGTTCCCCTCAGATTTTTGTGGTAAAAAGTAGAATTCATCAATTACAAAAATGTTTCATATCCTAAACAAAAAAGCAACCTCAGATAATCTAACACCACCATGTTTGTCTGAATATAATGAATTGGTTAAACGCCTGATTTTAAAGGACCCACAACTTCTATAAGTAGGAGTCATTTTGATTTGCCAGTGTACTCAGTACTATTTTTTTTGTTCTCCATTTTAGCGTAATGGCTTAATTTGAGTGTTAATGCCTTAGAAATAGTCTTTCAACCTTTCCAACTACATTTCAGTTACTTTGTTTTATTACCTGGTAATGAATGTAGCTAGATCAGAGCATGATGTGTGGATGTTTTAAAATATTTTAGACTTATTGAAGATGTCAAGCAGGTTCTTTCTAAGTTGTGTCCTGATTTTACAGATCTGGTCGTTATTAATTCTGGCTGTGGTTAGTTATATTAGACCCAGGTTTAAAGAAATGCGGTGAAATTACTTTATCACATAGCACAAGAATGGCTTGGATAGCTTTTTACCCTTTGCAAGGTAAACCATTATTTCAAAATTCCTTTCTTTATTTACTCAGATTATCACTATTTGATATTTTATTTTTTGATCATATGAAACATTTATGTTTAGAAAAAAAGAAAGGCAAAATGAGAAGAAATGTGTAGCGGCGAATACTCAGCACTGTAATTTGCTGCTCTTTGAACCCACGATTACTTCCAGTCTGGTAAAGCAAGTGTATTTTTTTTCATGTTTGAATGTCAGACACAAATCCCTTGTCTCAGCAAGAGTTTGATAGTCAAACTGAGCTCTTGATTTTCAGTGGAATAGAGCCATATCATCTGCAAATATGAAGTTCTTATCCCACTGGAATGATAAAGTTATTCAGACTCTCATGGTCTGAACAGATTGCAGTGTATTGAAGACACTCAGCAGTGCTTCTTCACACCGACTGATGCAATGTTCCTTTGCTGAATAAATTATCTTACAGGCTACTTTATTTTCGATCTTGGCTGCAGTCTATAGATCCCATAAGAGAATTGTGAGAAAAAAAATCCTTCTGTCTAATCTTATCGGCACTATTTTTCAACTCCCACCCCTCTTCCTGTTCATTTCTTCCACCTACCTCCTTTTCTTTATTTCCTGTGCAACTACGCTGTTCTTTACTACATCTTCCCTTCCCCAGAAATCCACAAGCTCAGCCTCCTCTGAGGCCTCAGAAACCTGCCAGTCTGTCAGCGAGTGCAACTCTCCTACAGCGGTTAGTACTGCATGCATACTATGAGTACTCACTGACATGCACTCAGACACTCTGATGCATTGCACATTTGCTCTCATTGTTATCTATTGGTTAAAAAAAGACTGCTGGCTGCTCACAGCAGCCGCAGTGCAGTTTAACTTGGACTACTTCTGGATGTTAAGCACTCTGACTCAGACTTGTCTGTCAATTCCGCAGTATGGCTCATGCTCATCCTTCGGTACCTTCCGCCCTGCTTTCTCTCACACTGGCACCATCAGGCCTCTCTCTGTCATACTCCCTGCGTCCCCCACATTTAACCACTCACCTGGATCCAACAATTCTTCACCCACATCAAAGGTTCCTAGCTGGAAGGTTTGTTTTAGTTCGCAATTTTAAGTTTGGGGTTTGTATTTTTTTTTAAAACCCTTGCTACTCTGCCCTTTTTTTGTTTTTGTTATTGTTGGTGCCAACTTCACAACCACCCTCACGCTGTTGCCCATCAAGCTCAGCTTTCCAGTCTTTCCTTCAGATATGTGTTAAACAGAGAGTTAACACTGCCATAGCCTAACCCGCTCTGCAAATATCCGTGCATGCTTCTAACCAGTCAATGAGCCAGATGTGTTTGAACATCTTGGTCTGAACCCCCAAAAACTGAAAAACAGAGATACAAAGCTGAAAGTTCCTTCTGGGTTTTCCATCTGCCCTTTCAGGACTGGGTCAAGTCGAGCTCCTGTGAGCCGACGCTGGCCAGCACCCCACAGCGCAGGAGGGACTCTGTGGAAAAGATGAGAGAGCTGGAGGCGCCGCCTAGTCCGCAGGGATACTCTGGGATGCAAACAGGTGATCGGCAGAGAGCGAGAAGTGGCCCAGGAATTATTACAGCCAAGGTAGGAGAGCCCTGTGGACTTAAAATGTAAATGGCTGTGAATTAATTCCAGTGCCTCAGGGATTGGAGTGTATTTTTAATGCAAACATATGGCAGTCTATATATATTTCTCATGTATCTCTGATTCTGTGTCTGCTTTAGCATGGAGAGCCCCTGTCTCCAGCAGCCAGTACTCTGGCTATGGTTCTTACGAGAGGCCTGAGTATGGAGCAGCAGAAGAGCAGCAGGGACTCCCTGCAATACTCCAGTGGCTACAGCACACAAACAAACACCCCTTCCTGCTCTGAGGACACAATTCCATCTCAAGGTAAAACAGAGCCTGAGGAGTTTAACAATGTATACATATTTCATTCAGTCAGCAATGTCCCACATATTAAATATTTACTTTAATGGTGTTCTGTCCAACCTTAAAGCATTAAGTGCTTTTCAACAGTGTTCATACCACTTGACCTGTTCTATGTTGTATCATGTTCCAACAACAAACACTATTGTGGTGTACTATTGGGGTTTTAAGTAATAGGCTAACAAAAAATAAAGCATATGGTTGTGAAGGAAAAGATACATTTTACTTCTGAAAACTGTGTATATAATCAGCTGTCTTACTGATTTATGTTGATGCCTCTAAAGAAAATAAAATGCGAACAGCTCCTCCCAGAAGTGACAGGAACAGTGGTGTTCACTTGTGTGCAATTTATCCTCTGCTCAGGTCTCAGGGTGTGTTAGAGAAGAATGAGTGAAAAACCTTCTTCATGAAGAGAAGGGTTTAGAAAGAAAGTGATGGAGAAATGTAGTAAAGCTTTCAGTGATAAAAAATATATCACAAGCTCTTAAAATCCCTTTGAAAACTGTTCAAACAAATATTTCTGAATGTGAAATCACTGAACTGCAAACCTACCAACCCAGCCACTTACCTAAAACAAGGGGCACTTGGTAACTCTGGAGGAGCTGCAGAGATCCAAAGCTTAAAATAGGAAATATGTCATTAGGACAATTTTTATTTTGCACTGCAAAAATGGGCCAAAGAAAGCCCTGCAAAGAAAACCATCAGGAGGATTTTCTGTTACAAACAGTATAAGGGATACAGTTAACATGTCGAGGAAAATGCTGTGGTGAGATCAAAAATAGACTTCTAGCCTTTATGTAAAATCATATGAAAGAGAAATGAAACTTCCCTCCCCCCCTCTGGAAGCACCATATCAGACCAGGCATCATGCAGTGGGGATGCTTTTTTTTTTTTAGTACTTAGAGGAGAGATAGGTGGAGCTAACTATATTAGAATCGTCTCCAACCTAAAAATAAAATAGATTGGTCCTTTGTTAAGTAATCCAAAAGAAATAGCATTTCTGCATTTCTGTACAAGGCAGTAGAGAAAAAATCTAACAGACTTACAGGTTTAAGTGCAGCAAACAACATACATAAATCACTGACTTAGTTGGGCTGAAGAACAACAAAATTTAGACTTTCATGTTTCTCTAAAATTTAAATCCACGATTTCTCCCTATTGATCATATGCACTGCTTTGTGTTTGTGGCAGAAAAGTCACATAATATAGTTCAAAGAGTATAGCAGTTAAATTACCCTGTAGACAGTGCAGGAAATTTCCTTAAGTGTCAGTGTAGTTACTGTGAATATAATGGAATAAATGAGCTGCAGATGATTTCACCAAAATAACAGTTCTAAGGATGTTTATCATTTAGTATGAAAAGTAGAAACCATCGATTCACTCTTGTTTTTTTTTTTTTTTTAAGGTTCTGATTATGAGTGTTACTCACTTAACGGGGATGTTGACAATGAGAGTCAGCCAGACTTTGACAAGTCCTCCACCATCCCACGCCATAGCAACATTGCTCAGAGCTACCGCCGCATGATTCAAACCAAGCGGCCTGCCAGCACAGCAGGTCTGCCTGCAGGTAAGAGCCTGCAGGGCACTTCAAATGGCTCCGGGGGAAGTGGCCCTGGAACCATTTCCTCTGGGACGGCCACGATCCGCAGGACGCCTTCCTCTAAAACTGGAGTTAGACGCACACCGTCAACATCTGGCCCCATTCCCATCCGGCCACCGATAGTGCCAGTTAGAACCCCCACGGTCCCAGACTCTCCAGGGTCTGCTAGCCCATCCCCACGCCATATGGGGGGTGAGGAGTTTCTATACAGTGATGACCCTTCAGCTGGGGACTACATGAGGGCTTCTCCAAAGCGGATGAGTCTTCCTGATACAGCTTGGGGCTATGGAGGAGGAGGAGGAGGAATGGACAGGACTGCTCACACCCAGCCAGCCCCCAGCGCGGCTGCTCACACAGCTGAGGAGGACCCTCAGCTTGCTGCCAACCGTCACAGCCTGGTTGAGAAGATAGGAGAACTGGCAGCCAGTGCACATGCCCTCGGTGAAGGTCAGTACCCCTTCCCCAGCTCATTGTCTGGAGACATGGCTCAGCATGCGCCACAGGATTCATCAACTGTTACCCAGGAGGATGTGGATATGTTAAAAACCATTCGCCGTGGGGTGAAGCTGCGCAAGACGCTAACTGATGACCGGTCGGCTCCCAGGATCCTTCGGTAATTTAAGAAAACAGAAGCCCTTATCCACAAACTGAAGCACTCATTAAACCGAGGCACAGTGTGCAAAGAGGATACAAGGTGGTTAATAAAGACCAGCCAACAACAGAAAGACTTTAAAGTATCTGAAGTCATTTCTTTTCAGATTTGTATTACGTTCGTACAAAGTAATGCATTTATTTTGTTTTTGTTGTCATTTTTTTTTTTTTTTGGTAAGCTGTGTTGTTGTGCATCTGCTCTTCAGCTCAGTTTGTCCCAGTGGTTCCAGTGTGCAACGCATTACACGGTTGGATGGTATTGCTATTAATACTGCATTTCTTATTGTATTAATAGTGCGTATAGGGATGCATTTCCTAATGATCACAGCCGCCTTTCATTGGAAACGTGGGTGGCGGGGTGCTCTGTGAGCCTGTCTTGTTTCTCATCGTTACTGTCCAAGTATTTCTGTTTTGTTTTGTAAGCGGGGCAGCAGCTGTGTAATTTCATGTAAAAATAGAAGCAGTACAGCAGTGTTTATATTGCCGTACTCTACTGTCAATGTATTCTGCAATTAAACCAGCTTTTTACTGAAAAAACTCAGCTCAATTGTTTTTGTCAAAACATTATGAAAATGATTCTTCATTAGAGTGTGACGGTTTTCAAATTATGCGTATTTGTTTGTTTGCGGTTGCTGAAATGTGGAGCAGCCGTTATTACGGAGATAAATTAATTAGGATGTATATTTAAATGTGAAATGTGCTTTAACTATTCCCCTTGCCTTTTGAAGTTCTTTATTTCCTACTCAGTTTTTTTTAAGATGAGTAGATTAATTAGGATTTTATTTACTCAAGAGGCCACTTTATTTTAGATAATTATGCAACAGTTCATTTGCAATCATTTTATTTTTAACTCAGTACAGTAATGATAATTTTCCAGCTTTTTAACTTTAAAGTATATGACCACGTTTGTCCTCAAGATGCAACTTTTTATAAGACTGTAGTACTTTTCAAAGCCAAGTGGGGGTGCCGGAGGCCCTTTACAAGTGTTGATTATGGAGCATTTATTGGGACTTCACTGCTTTATTAGTAGTGTTTGACGGCCAAGATTAAACGGTAAGTTGAATGGCTAAAGAAACTAAGATCTATTTACTGTATTTGAAAAAAATATATATAGTAGAAAAGAAATATTTAGCAAAAATGTAAAGTACTGTTTTGTTTTCCTGAGAACAAAACGTCACTCCTAAAAACTGCAGGCGGTTTAATTTCCCGCCAAATCTAGGCCACCACGCAGCTGGGTTTATTATTGTACATTTTTGCTTCCTAGTGTTTATTAGCAGATCTGCTTAAACCTCAAACAAATTCTCATAAATGTTGAAATTCATCTTTCAGAAACGACCAAAATCCCACTCATTATTAACTGCTCACATAACTATAAAGTTTATTTTCTCCCGTCATGGCAGTGAGTGTGAACTCTGAGTTGCTTTTTCTGGTGATGTATGAGCATGAGGCCCTGCTTCAAAGAGATTGCATCAGAGGACCATTCAATAATGTGACCTTGAGTGAAAATAATCAAGAATATAGTTAAGTTTTCAAGAAAATTGAACACAAGAATGAAATAACTATGTTGCAGCAAAAAAAAAAACTCAGGTATCTGATGTGTAGCATATCACAGTGACTAAAGAGTGAAGCTAGAATAGCAGCTGCTTCAAGCTGGAAGCTTTTAAAACATAGATAGCGAGTTTTATTAAGAAAAATGCTGTTTTTTCAAGCATTATGATTATTTGGTTAAGGTTTGCTATATGTTTGCTATGTGAACTATGTGTTCTAAGTGGAAATTTCCAAGTTTAAAGATTTAAATTGTTAAAATTGCAGTTGAAATCCAAATACAGACTTTCACAGGACACATAAACGCTGATATTAAATCAAATAAAGTATTTTAGGTCAGTAAGGATTAGCAACATGATTCTTAAGCTAATCCCAAAATAACATGAGATTTTTTTTAGGACATATATTGCCTTAGTATGTGGTGGATTAGCACTGTAAATTGTATGACTCGGTCAAACATTTTGGACATCCTCTTACATGGTTCTCTTGAATGTTACTGCATTGCTCTCAATAGAAACAGTGTTTTTTGTCGGCTGCCTTTTTTCAGTCACCTTTCAGCCCTGCCCTTAAATTTTGTACTGGTCTGATATCAGGAATTACTGATGACAGCTCCTAAACACAGATTTTTTTTTCTTCAAATGACAAATTTGGTAGCATGTGTTGAATCATTGTCCATTTGGGAGACCTGTTTGTTCCAAATATTTAACTTTGCGACTGATGTCTTTATCATATTTTATATTATGATTTTTTTTTTCCCTGTAATGTCCTCTATTTTGTGACATACAATTGCCCCTCCTGCAGTGGCCACAACACAACAGCATCATGGTACCACCACCCCTGTGTTTCAGTTTTTGTGAGGTTTTGAGCTTGAAAACATAATTTTTTTAATTTAAAATGATACAGAAGTTTTATCACCAAACATCAAGTAGATTCTTCAGACTGCAGGACATGTCTCTAACATTAAAGGTCCCTCTTAATGCATGCATTTGCAAGCTAATCTAGCTTTTTATGTTGCTACTGGAGTAGCAGGTTGCCACTAACGTGGTGGCATTTCAGCCCATATTGGTAAATTCCTTCAAAATAAACTTCCATGGCAGAAAACATCTCCTGCCAGATCAGTGTTTCTGTTTACATATAAACCACCCATCAGGAATTTGGACAAACTCTTTTATTAACTGAAATTTATATTTTTTAACATGAATAACATGACCCCTTCAGACATCTTGACATTTTAGGGGAAGCATCAATCACAGCTGTTGAGGTCCACAATTATTTTTTCTGGTATGATGTCCGCTTTCCTTTGAGTTTTCCATGATTTTCCAAAATTTAGTGACCGCTGTTCCTCTGTTTTTGTGTTGTGAGTTATCCTATCAGATAGTTACAAAGCCTCAAAACTCTTATTTTGGCTTTCCCAAAGTACTTAATAAAGGGCATAGTTGTCTTTGTTTCAGCAATCACCATAAAGTTCAAGCATGCAATCAAAACATTTCAATGAAAATATTTTTACCATTATTCTGGGATTTAAAAAGTATGAATTAATTAAAAGAAATTCCATCCATCCATCCATCCATCCATCCATCCATCCATCCATCCATCCATCCATCCATCCATCCATCCATCCATCCATCCATCCATCCATCCA